AATTTTAGTAAAAATCACATTTGTTGTTTTTATGCCCGTGTATAATTTGAATAGAGAATAAATAAATTTCACGTTTTGCCTTGAGCGACTTGATTGACTTCGCTCGCGCATCCTCCTCACCCGAAGACAAACAGGGGAGTGTCTCTATTTTTTTCGTTCTGCCCTGTCGGCGCTAATTCGATGTCGCATCGCACGGCGCACTTGTCGCGTCTATAAATAAAGCAAAGTAACTCATAACTAGATGCGCACATACGTATAGGCCAAGAACAGGGATCGGCATTACTCGAATGTGGAGCAGTGGCCCACTTAAAACCTCTTGCGCGATCAAGGCAAAGATCCGCCGCGAGAGCTTCTTTCGCCTGGACATGAAATTCATGCCGGCTTTTGTTCCCCAGTCAGGTGTTTTACTTTCAATTGCTGCTTTTTTTTCTCACATACTTGCACACTACAAGAATTTTGCGAGCATCGAAGTCACTGAAAGGGGGCCACTCCTCACTACTTAAATCCTTAATAAAGTGCACGTGTTGACTTGAGTCGTGGATAAGTCCTCGGAATAATTCTCGCTCGTCCAACTGTAAACTGAACATGCACTTTTTAAGTGGGTGCTGGAAGAAAAAATTCCTGTGGACAAAAAAATTTAAGAGTTGGAAAATAAACCTGCGGGATTAGTTCCGCTTGAAATCACAGTTTCAGAAAAACAACCTTCTCCCCTCATGTTTTAAAAGAAGAGATTTATTGAGCCAAAAAACATTATTTTGAGAGACATTTGTGTCCAGCGCCGAGTAAATAATCCTGTTTGACCAGAGGGGCACAAATCTCGTCTGGAGCCGCGTGCGTGCTCGCTTGGCTGCCGTTTTTGTGGTTGAAACTCAAAACAAGGCGTCGAAGCGCAGGGGTTAAAAAGCGGTCTGAAGCGAGATGGCCAGATCGTGCTGATAAAAAAAAAATGAAAAGCTGCCAGACTGCCACTCGAGCAGCCTTGACCTAGTCCTTTGCCAAGAGCAGTCTTACTTAAGGATGTGCTCTTGGCACAAAGCATTTCTGGAGCTGCATGAGAAAATTTATAATGAGCGTCGCATCCTGACGCAAAAAGAGTTTTATTCAACAGGAAATTTATTTTAGATTTTTTTAAAGAGAAAATATACATTTTTCATCAGTTTTTGTGGCCGATTCGCAGGAAATCACTGTTTAAAGGATTCGAAATCTGTCCCTTTTCCTGCCTTTTCTCACAGCAAACATCCCTTTCCCATTTCTCAACCCTCGGCATTTCTCTCCATTATTTGCAACCGGTGCGGCTCGAAACCCAATCTGCTCGACCTACTTACACCCACCCCCCGACAAAGGCGAAAAAAACTCATCAGAAAAGAGTGCATCTCATCAAACAGGAATCATATTTCGTGAAAAGAGGACCTTTTCCCAATGCAATAAATAAATAATAAAAGGAGGCAGACGAGAGAAAAAAAATACGTGTCTTGTCGGGGGCGAGCGCAATTAAATTATTGTGAGGGATCTTTTTTACGAGGTGGGGACGTGGTCCCGTTACTCTCATTGTATCACTTACCTGCCTGCATTTGAGGCGGCGCGAGCGTAGGAGGGAAATAAAGCAACCTGACGTCACCCTTTTGTTCTTGCCTTTTGAGAGTGACATTTTCCGAATGATCTCCGGCCGCCTCATTAGGTCAAATTGCGAACGGCCTTTGGAATTAGCATGATGTTGCAAAAAAACTAGGCCCATATAAATATATTGCAAATTCTATAAAATACGTAAAATATAATAAAATTTAAGAAAATTAATTTACACATGATATATATTTTTTTAGAATAAATTATGTTCAAAAGTTATTTGAGAGGATTTTGATTGAGAATTTAAATTGACTTTTTAAAAAGTCAGCAATAGAGAATTTTTAAAAGCTTTTTTCTCTTCAAAGTTTATTATTATTACTATTTATAGCTTTTTAAACCGCATTTTGAATTAAATGTATGTAAGCCGGTTTTTTGCTTTCAAAGTCTTATAAAAACCTGACTTGCCTTTAACAGTTTCTATTAACTTCCATAGAAAAAATTTTCTTAGTAGATCTTATTTTCTTTGTCTATTTCTCATCAAATTGTAATTTTGATTATTTTTGCTATGAAGCTTGGACTATGCAATTTACATCAAAGAAAGTAAAACCATCAGTCAAAAACGGTAGCCAATTTAAAATTTAATTGCATACCTCCATGATAGCATTAGCAACGCAGTCGGCAGAGAAAGTTAATTAAGTAATTGGTTTAATTAACAGTTATAAACGCACCGTTCCCAATCGCGCAGAGACAAACAATTGCATAGAGATTTTTTGCTGCTCCTCATCATCCTTCATTAATATCTCGAAATCAAACCTTTTTATGATGAATCACATCTGAAGAGATACAAAAACAATCACATACTCCAATGATGATTAGAGCTATGCGGGTTATTAAAAAGTTCCCGGCTGTTGGAATCGCGGCTTAATTGCCATCGCGTATCATTTCACGGCGCTCGCGCTGCTGCAATTTTCGAATCGTACCATGATGGGAAAAATGAGCTGCTGCTGGGTGCATAAAGCGGTGGCAGTGAAATGAAAAAGAATTGTAATTGGCGCCGTCTGCAGATGCGGTTGTTTGTTGCCATGCAATAAATTTGTATTTTCACTCTCTACACGCTTTGAGAAGCGCAGATGTAATTAAGATATGCGCAGACCCAGTCAAGTAGATTGATTAATTCAAATTGTCAAAATGAGGAGTGTTTGGGAACGGGAGAATTTTCTTCTCAATGTAAAATTCTATATAGACTTAATACTAAATTCAGCAGCAAAAAAGTTAAAAAAAACCCTCGTTTCGTCATTTCAGTTTTACAAAAAAATGTTTTTTTTTTTAAATAATTTAAAAAAACTTTAAAAATTTCATTAAATATACTAGTTTTTTAAACTGATGCAAATTTTTATATTTAATTTTAATTTTCTTAAATGGTTTAAAATTAATTTTTGAAAATTGTATTAAAATTTTACCTAGAGTTGTTTGCATTAAAAGAAATTTGTGTCATGAGTCGAATGAAAAGCAAAAAATCTTTTCATCTCGTTAGGATTTCTTGTTGCCGTTTCTCGTCCTCTCTTACTTGTAGTGTTGATGGATGCATTCAATATAATTTAAAAGTGCCCTCTAATGATGATATACCTCTCATGCAGCATCAATATACACGCAGTGGAAAACGAAGCGCGCAAGTCTTGTTTCATGACTCGAAAGAGATTTCTTTCTCTCTTCCTCGTCAATTGTATGTGCGATCGCAATGATCTTTACCTGGGAAGGTCATTCGATTCAAAAGCTAATGACAAAACAGCGTTTCTTTTTTGTTCTCCTGGCGAGATCAAAACACTATTATTTTACTATAGCTAAAATGCGTTTGTGTGTGTTCGGACGCGGCTGGGGAATTATAATGGACAACTTGTTTAATATGCTGATGGGCATGCAACTTTCTCGCGTCAATATCTTCTTCCATGTACATTGATAATTAAAGCAAGCGGCATGGTGGAGAGAACCAGTCTGGCGGGAAAAATTCCTTCGCCTTTATTTGTACGCCGAGAGCGCTCAAAATGCGTGCATTTGCCGCTGCGGGGAATGGCAAAGTCAATGACCATTTCCAGAAAAGTTGTTATTCATTCAAAATTTATAAATACATTCTTTCATTGCACTGGCGGAAATCTTATAAAACACGGTGGATATAACTTCTTGACTGAACAGAATTATTTATAGTAATCGTCAGCTATAAATATACATAAAAAAATTTAATTTATTTATTTATTCTCCCTTCATGTATAGTGTAAAAAATACAAAATTTATCATTTTTCACCATTTAATGAAAGGGTCACTTTAAAATGAATTTCCTATAATTATTAATAAGTTAAGAATCAGAAAATTTAATGTTTTTCATCAATTAACCGATACTGTATTTAAAATTATTTTAAATATTTATTTGATTTCTTGTGGATTGAATTTTTAATTCATCTAGGACTCGTGTTCACCCACCAAATCTGTTTTTTTTTCTGGATTGCTATTAGAGCGTAATGTGTCACAAAATTTTTGACAAGGTCGCGCCCGGCACTTATTTTATCACACGCAACCCAAACCACCTCGGCGCGCACACAATTAGTTTCTTTTTTTTCCGCTTTTTTCAATTATTGTTCTTTATCAAAACACGATAAGAAAGTAAAATAAAAGTATCTTTTTATGTTGAGCAGTAAAAAGCCCCGTTTATTTGTTATGTGTTTTAAAGAAAAAGCTTCTTTAGTTAAATTTTTATTTCTTGGCGAACTGATGAAATTTTAGTATAATTTGTGATTAGTGTGCCTTTTTTCGTCGCATAAATCCCTTTTAAAATGATGAAATTTTGGCGAGTTTCCTTGTCCGCTGATCATGCTCGGAGAGATGCAAGGAGATTTCAACGGGTGCAACCTTTATCTCCGGCTGGACCGCTGCGGGCTAAACAGAATCAATTTTCCCTCACTCGCATTAAAATTTACTAATCTAGATAGAGCAGCTTCCTTTTCCGTAAATGCACCACTTTCTCCCCCTGAAAACGCGCCCAACAACTGCCCCGGCCGCGCTTCATCTGTCCAAAAATCTCTTTCGACGAGATAATGGAATGGACCATCTGTCTGCAGAGATCGTCGGTTGGGAAAATTATTAACAGAGAAGGAAAAGGGCTCTTCTGACAAACAAACCCTCTCTCCTTTCTTCTCGGCTGCCGCGCCACCCCCACCCACCTTTCGTCGCACCCCCTCGGCACGGGGAGAAAGACGAAGAAGAGAAGAAAAGCGGGCAGGTAGAAATTTTGTTCACGCTTGTTTTGGAGGAGCGCGAGCTGCGAGCGCGAGAGGAGGGGGCACGCCGAGAGCACATGCATGCATTACACTCAGGCAGGCAGGCAGGCCAGGCAGGCACTCTGGATGGAAACTAGGTTACTGTCGTAGTGGGACATTGGTGGTAGTGGTATGCGCGCCTCCTCAGCCAGCGAGCAAGACCCGTTTGTTACTCCTTCATCAGTCGGGCTATCTACTTCCTGCTGGTGAGACTGTGTTAGTAAATTGACCCGCCGTGCAGAAGCTGGCTGTGTTTTTCCGCCGATTGTTGTGCCAGTGTTGCCTGTGAAACTGAAAAGGACCACTGGATTATTTTTCGCATTTGGATCTCAACCCCGTGGATTTTGGATACCAGTCCGCCGAACCCGTGAGTGTTTTTTGTCGCCACCACCCTTCGGTGTCACCCCGCGCCACCCTTTCTTATTTTTTTTTCAATCATCTTTCGAAACGACGAGCATTAAGGAAAATATTATATTTTTTTGATGTAGCCAGAGGCCCCTCATTATGGGTAGCATTCATGCAACTCCATTACCTCGGCTCATTTTGACGGATCGAAAACGACCCCTAGACTAGACCATGGCGATACAACGAAGGTAAAGATTGCTCGTGTATAAAAGAATCCAAACCTTTTCTTTTTCGGTGTGTATTTTTCCAAAGGCATGGTTTTTCCGGAAAATTAAAAATAAATTAAATACAAATTCTTTTAACTTTTGTCACGATTAAAAAATTCTTTTCTAAATTTTAAAATATTTATTTGAAGTTGCTTTTGTAAGCGACTTGCCTGTCAATTAGCTCCCTTAGTGGCACAGTTCACCCGCCGCTAGCCATGCCTTTGCGTACGCACACTTTTATCATAAATAACGTAACGTTACTATACCTGTTCTGAAAAAATACACGCGACCTCACAACCTTTTTATTTCAACCAACAGCAGCTTCAACGGGGTCGAATATTCGACTTGTCGTTGTGGCCGCTGCTCGGCCGAGAGTGAAAAATCTTCCTTCTCTATCGCTACATAAATTTTGTTCGTTTTCAAACAAAAAAAGGCTCGATCCATTCGATCTTGCTAATTTTTTTTCTGGGTCGTCGCCGATGTGTTGTTTGATTTTGGTGACTCCTCGGTTTAAGGTTGACAAGACTCTTCTTTGCTCTGTTCCGCTGCCTGCTGTGTGTATAAATTTCCACAACATCTACCGTTACTCGATCATGTGCATAATTATAATATTCTCGGAAAAGTTGCGCCAATATAGAGATATGAATCAAAACAGACCAGTGGCAGGCACACTCTCTCGGTGTAAAAAATCTCATTTGTTCCGCGATCCGCGGGGTTACTCATCCAACGTGAGGAAAACTTGATTAAATTGGAACAAGGGGCGTCGAAAACACTCACTTTCGATTATATCACCAACTTTGATGGCTGACTCATTCTTTTACATGAATAATTATAAAAATAATTGTCAATGAATATTGCCGAATACAAGTTATGGTTAATTGGTTATTAAATACGAAAGATATGCCTAATGAATTTCCTTAAGGTGTTTTTCGGTTCCGTTAACATTTTACATAAAAAAATAAATTTTTTGTCTATTTTTATTCAAGGAGATGGTCCATGATCTAGAAACGCTTTCCATCTCGTTTGAAAATCGGATGCTAGAAAAATCCAGACAACAATAACCGCGCGGAACAAGAACTTTCTTTAATTTATATACAGCGATGCGGAATTTCACTGAATAGGTGGTTGAACGTCCTTGCCAGGTTGCTCAACCTCGGCTTCATTCTAGTCACTCTGTCTAGAATGCCAGGGAATTTTCTTGCTACTGAATGATTCACTTGGATTGATTGCAAAATTAATTATTAAATTCCAATGTTGGCTTGAATTTTGTAAGAAAAAGAAATATATTTAATTTAAAATGTTATAAATAAATTCATGCTTACAAATTGAATTTACAAGAAAAAAAATTAATCGTTTTTCTCAAACAGGTAAAAATTTAAAAAAAACAACAACAATCAATTATGAACATTGAATGTCTAATTATCACTATTTAATTTTTCTTTTAATTATTCATAATAATTTCCCTGCTTTTATAAATGTAATTAATGGTGATAATACAAAATGCATAGTCAAGGTTGTGATTGAGATTTGCAAAAAAAAATTACAATAATTGCAATATATCAAAGCGGTTATTCGTGTGGGGAGGTGTGGCGCGGAAAACGTGTTATCGAAAGGAAAAGTATGCAGTTAATTTGCATATCGATAATAAATAGCGCGCGGGCAGTCTTAATTGTGCTCACTATATTGAGCTTGCTCATGGGAGGCGCAACAGGTATATAAATGTGTAACGGGATATCCGCGCGCTAGCTCGTTAATAAACTCTGCTGCTGCTGCTGGTGGACTTTATAATGTACACGTTCGTCTAGCCCTTAAGTTTATTTTATGTATTATGACCGTATGATTATCGTGGCTAGAATGAGAGGATGCATTTATGGGTCAGCGGCACGCACCGCGCGCCGTGCATTATATTTATTATATTTTCAATTCAAAAAACACGGCGCGCTGTGGGAATAAGAAATGAGAAAGAAAGAAAAACTTATAACAAGTCAAAGATGCATATCGAACTTCCTCTTTTATGCTGACGAGCAAAATAATATATAGTAATCTAGCGCACCCCAGCGTTACATTTTAATTAAATCCCAGCAACACGCAAGTAGGTGAAATTAATAAAGGCGACCTTGGATAAAATCAAAAAGATTAATTGAACGAACGCCCTGATTTTGAATAAAAAAATTACGCAAAATCGGTTGGGCAAACTTGACGATCAATCAATTTTATTCAATCAAATGCTGCTGCTGGTTTTGGATCATTATACAAGACTTTTTATCGTTCGATTTGTTAATTATCTGATGCATTTATGACGCTTTGTTATTATTTATGTGGGCCCAGCCAGCACTTTTATTTGAGAGAACAGTTAGTACAATATTCCATTCGAAAATGAAGGCGCCGCGTTCGTTGGCTGCACAAAGCGCGCGCAGTGTCGGAGGAAAAGAGGACACCCGGCCCTCACTCTCTGCGAGTGTTTTCGACTTGTATTATCAACGGACTGCGCCTTCCTTACTTGCATGTGTGCTGGAAAATAACCGCGACTGACTGATAGCTATGGCAAATATAAAGTACCTGCGCGCGATATGTGTTTTGGCCACAATTTAGGTTAGACAGCGGAAATCAGACGTTTCCTATCGGTCGTTTGGCGCTCCGGGCCGTGGATGTGACATTTGATTGTTAAAATAGGGGAATATAAATCAGAACTTCCTTTATAAATTAATATTCCTCTTTTCAACAAATTAATTTTAAACTTTTTAAATTAAAAAAGAAACACTCTTTTTTTAATTTTTGTGGTTTTTGGTGATGCTAAATATTTTCCATTCTTTAACGAACACAAGTTTTTTTTCTTTTAAATTCTAAAAATATTCGTCCTTCCTGGAACAAAAAGGATCCCCCAAAGTTGAAAGGAAAAGTTGCCACAATTTCTACCACATCGAATCGCTTCTTTCTCTCTGAACTTTTGCTTTCCTCCAACCCTGACCAGATGGAAAGCAAAAGTGTCAAAAGGCACCCCTGCTGGAGGCGCTTCCTTTGCCTATATTTTAGGAAGTGGCTTCCTCACATTTTGGCGCATTGTTCTGCTTTGTGTGAACAGAAGCCGAACACTGCGTTGGTGCTGAGAAAAGCAACGAAAACAAAAGTGACCCAATAAATATAAAGCACTGCATTTTCCCAAAGGGACAAAGAGGGTCTGTGAATATATAAAACAACCACATGTTGCGCACACATGCATTTTGCCCAAAGGAGCCGACGGGCCCTTTTCACATAAAGAGGCAATTTCCTCAACACATGGGAGAGTCTCAATTCGTGCAGAGAGATGCATTTTGACTCTCTATGTATTATTATTGTTATTAACGGCGCGCCCCGAGATATTAAATTAGCAGTGCTAAATGGAATGGCCAGATGAAATTGAGCGATAACCGCGCGTTCGGCCCGGCTGGAAATTAGTACCTTTTATCTCTCTCTGCTGGGCGCGTTTGGCTTTAATAACATATATACCGCGGCGAATAGTGCTGGAGAGAGGTAGGCGCGATGGCATGGTGACCGCGTTTGCAACTCGCCTTATCAGATGCGAGCGACCGCCGCAAATTAATCACCTCCGCGGTAGATCCGACCGTGATTTAGCATTTTCTGGCTCGGGCCAATAATTGAATTGATAATTATTTCTCATTGCATGCGCCTATCACTGCCAACAATCAAGCAAATCAAATTAGGAATGCACTTTAAAAGTCAAAAACGTTTCACCCAATCGCCTTTCATTCAAAATCAGCTTGCTCAATTGATTTTTCTCCAAGAGCGTAGAAAATTGGCCAGCTACACTGTTGACTTTAAAGTTGTACTTCCGGAACTCCCCGCTGGTCACTTGAATGTAATGGATTTTTCCATCCTGAATGAAGCTGAAGAATCCGATGGCATTTTAATGGTGTGAATTTCCTTTAACTAAGAACAGGAAATTGGCTGCAAGGGTTTCAATGAAATATTTTTTTCTTCAAATTGTTCTGTAAATAATAAATGGAAACATCAATTTGAAATTTAAAAAAGCTTAATTAAATTTTAAAATTTACTTAAAAAATTAATAAAACAGACTTAAGCGAATCTGATTTAATTTTGTCTATAATTTTCAAACAAACATCAATATTTTTTTATCCAAGAATAAAGCAAGATTAAAATTTACTTTTGAAGATCAATAATGATAATATTTTCGTGTCCTCAACGCAAAACTTATCTTAAATTCAAACAAACAGTGACTTATTTGGAATTGATGAAAACTCTGCCAATTCCAAATCAAGCGAAGGAAATGTTTTCCGATTCAGCACGGCGTGGTGCTAATCTACGCCGAAGGCACGTTTTTTGCCTCGAAAAGGACGTCGTTGGAAGCTGATGGCGGACACGCGAGGTGATCTTGGCTGCTAATAAATTTACATGCGCTTAAAAGTTGGTTTACCCGAGCAGGGCGCGTTGAACCTCACCGTCGCTGTCACCAACTGACGTCTTAAATTCGCTGCATTTGCATCCGAAATTTATGAAAACGCACACGCAGAGAGAAAGTCAATAGCTTTTATAGAAGCAGCACATAAACGATGGCTAATTATCAAAAAAATAAAACACCGAATGTCAATGCCGATTTCGCGAACACGACCGACTTACGCAGTGCAAGGTCGCACAAATTTGCCTTCCTAATTCGTTCACACGCCCTGGTAAGCTCTCGAATTCGAATGTGAAATTGTTAAAAAAAAAAAAAAATCAAATTTTGATTGTGAAAAAAAATGACTATTTTCCGCTTCGGTGCAAATTTTCCTGATGATTTTGCGGTCGAAGTAAAGAAAATTGATTGGCAATAAAGTGTACCACTTTTCACGCTCTGCAGGCGCATGACTCATGAAACTGCATGCCTGTGTATTTTTTCTCTCTATTGCTTGCAACAATCGGCAAGCGTGATACAAAGAATAAAGGTTGAATTGAACATGTTCTTCCTGAACTCTGGCGACACTGCTTCTTGGTCTGGCGACGAGAGACCTAAAATTTTTTGCAAAGCAACCGTAATTCAATACTCAGTCACGGATGAACTCGAAAGAGAACAAAAAACATAAAAGGTATTTTAAATCACAAATTATAAATTCATTTCAATGGTCAATACCCTGACGATATAAATAGGCGGGATTCCCAAAGACCAATCCCAAATGGTCTATTTCGCTTAGAGCCAGATATAATATTGCTGGCGGCAGAGAAAATGTTGAGCTTTGATTCCATGAAACCATCCATTCTTAATAATTTTGCAGCCATTGATGTTCCCGAAATCTGATGTATGCATCTTGTGCAACCGAATCGGAGAAACCGTTTCTCCTGACCGATTTGCCATCAAGAATAATGGAAATCTTGCTATAAAGAGAGCAAATTTTAATTAAAAAATTTATAATAATTCTGCCACCAACAAATACAATAAATAAAGGAAATTCTCGCTGGTGTGAAAATGACAATAAAAATCCTTCCAAAACCGCAGCATCTCTGCTCATCACATTCAAAGAGTGGCAGTGATTAAATGTTTTTCTCACGGATAATTAAGTATAATATACGTGGCCCGCGGCTCTCCCTTTCTCTGGCCTACTTGGATGCTCGCTCCACTGATTGCGGCTTGCTGGCTGCCGCACGCATTACAAGTTTAAGAGCAAGGCCGTGCTTCTCAAGCAACAGGGTCACATGCTCTCGTGCAGCCGATTAAAATTTCAGCCAACCAAATTTTGAATTTCAAATTCGACTTTCTTCGGCGCGATAAAGAAAGATACGCGTGGAGAGAATTTTGCCAGACTACTTTTCATTGTTCGGACTGAAACACGTCAAAAGCTTGTGGGAAGGCGCTAATTGTCGGTTCGTCACTTTTCGCTCGCATTATTTTTTTTTTCGCGTTCCCATGCCACTTCATTCTTTTCACATATATATTCATATTTTACTTTCTTTCACTCGCGCCGGATCTTTTGAAAAGTAAATTAGGCGCGTATAAGCAGCCAATTATTCCGTCCTCCCTCGCTTGTCACGATGCGAAAAACGGTGCTTCTTTTTTGGCAACAAGAAGTCGAGGCGTGCGGCGGCGGCGAGCCAGTCAGCGTTGTTCGCCGCGATATCGAGGGCGCTCGCTTATTCGAATCGTGTGCCACATTTCGCCAGTGCTTGGCCCCCTTACCCGCTTGCCGCCGAATTCAACTAGAAATAAACAGCCGAAAAGCATCAAAATGGAAATACCTGCATTTTGCCTTTTTATAAATTACTGAAATTAGTGCTACTTACCTCCTCTTAAAAATTGGATATAAAAAGAAAGCTTTTGAAAATAAAATAACTTAATATAAAAACTTTTATTTCATTTAAAATTGAATCACAAAATATTTAGTTATCTTTACTTTTCTGTTATTTCAAAATTGCATAACAATTAAATCAAATTGATTTATTTTTCTTTAATAAATAAATAAATAAATATTAGTTAAAATAATTAAATAGTTAATTAAATTTTTCCAAGTCTCAATAATCTATTAAGCATCATACAAAAGAGAATTTTATTATTAAAAATTATTTTCGTTTGGAGCATTTTGAATGTATCAAGTCCAAATTCACGATCACAATTAGAGGCTCAAGAAAGGACTGATCCAATTTGAGATAACCGTGGGACGAAAATGGCGCCTCGAGGAAAGTAAATTGTCCCGCGTGTTAATAGTAAAAGTTGTCGTGTGTGCTTTTTGGCTTAGTGCCTTATGCGGTGGGTCGAGCTGGTGCTCACGGTGCGTGCGAGCGAGTGAGTGGGGTGGATGAAAGTAGGTAACCAGGCTGTAGCGCGCGCGGAGCGGATCTGGCGGAGATACCTCTTGCCTAGTTCCGCCTCCCATAACGGGACCTCCGCGTCCGACCGACTAGTCCCCTCTCCGCACAACCCCTTTTCTTATTTACATTCGGTCTGCGCCGCGCAAGGTGCAGCTCGGCGTGATTCGCGTCGCCCGTCATTATTATTATTACCATGATTTCCCTGAAAAATTCATAAACGAAAAAAACTTGGGCTCGTTAGCGGAGATGACGAGTTGAATCAGAGCAAAGAGATTCGAGCGTTCAAGTCACCAAAGCAAATGATCTGTTCAATTTGAGCTGAATCATTGCAGATTTTATGCAAATGAATGAAAGATAGAAAGAAAGGCACCGTTTCCAAATTCATGCAGTTTGAATTATATTTCTGCTTTACAATTTATTCATGCAGAATAATCTTTTATTAAATGTAAGGCCTGTCTGCAATTTACACTCAAAATTGATTGACCCAGTATGATGCAAGTTTCACTGGTTATACAAGTCGCAAATTTCCCGTTCCTCTGGCGAAAATAATTTAAACGAGATCAATATAAAAGAACTCAATTTCAATATCAAATTTTGCCAAATCAATATTCCGGAGAAAGAATATAAATATTTAGATTTTCATTTCCACCCAAGTTCACTGCCCGCCGGATTTGCATGACTCGGGGAATTTAATTTTATTTCGCTCAACAACAAAAATGTTTTTGTTGTAGAATTTCACGATCGAGGGATTATTCATGGTGATTTGCATTACTTAAAAATCGGATTTTCCTTGATTGGCTTTGTGAGTTGTTTATCTTTTTAGAATAAAAACAATATCCTGCTCTACATGTTTCGGCTGCCGGTTGCAGCCATAACTCATGAGCTGTGATATAATTTTGACAAGAATCAGTAAAAAAAAATTTTCTTTCAAATTAACTCTTTTTTCATGGAAAAAATTATTAAAAAATTACATTTTTACACGAAACAATTTTTAACACAAAATTTGACACTTCAACTTCAATTAAAATTTTTTTAACATTTTTGCTATAATTTTGGACAGAATATTGAAAGCAACCGAAAAATAATTTAGTCTTCTCTTGACCACCGCCGAGAAAGGTATGCTCAAAACACACGTTTCAATATTCTGACCAAAATCGTTATACAAATTAATTTGTTAAAACATTTCTATTAATTCAATTGTGACATTTTGTGTTAAAAATGGTTTTGTGTAAAAATGAAACCTTTTAATATTTTTTTTTTTTTTTTACAAATAAGTGTAAATTTGAAAAAAAAAATTTTTTTAAAAATTAGTTTTTATACTAATTCTTGACAAATGATTTCACAGCTCTGGCCCGCAGCCGAAACATGTAGAGCAGGATTTTTTTCTAAAAAAAAATAAACAACTCACAAAACTCACCGAGGAAGAGCCAATTTTGAAATTCTAATCACCATGAACAAAAATTTCTGTATATTTTTACTTGTAAAATACAAAAACCTCCTTCCTTCGCTATTACGCATACTAATGCAATTTCTCCGTTCTGTTTCTCTGTTTAGACCGCAGACCTGGCGCTCCGGAAAATGTTGGAACGCACAGCCTCCTGACCTCTGAATCTTCGCCCCCATCAATCGGCTTCCCTCCCCTGCCTGCCGAGCAGCCATGGTGCACGTGCGGTGCTAAAGTCGCGCACACAGACAGCGTGACGTCGGCACGACGCCTCGTCTCAAGCACACCCCCGTCCTGCCCGACAGGCCTACTTGGTACTTTTTCCCCTGTGACAGTGTTAACAACGCCGCCCCGCTGGATCCCCCGTGGCTCAGTCCGCGCCGTTCCGCGCCCGGACCAACCCTGCAGCTGTACGGTGGCGGAGGCGCCAACGCGGCGTCCACCACCGCGCCCCTGATCTCTTCAACCACGTGCTCACCACTGCCATCATCCTCGTGCTCGCCGGACAATAACCTGGCGTCCATTGACCAACTGGCCGTTCTCCATGGCATGAAGTTCACCACCGTGGTTGTAGACGGCGGCTCCGGCGACGTTGACTCCATCATGAACTGTTGGTCGAGTGACCAGCACTACGCTGTTGTTGATAGTTCTGGTGAGGTGGCGCTGACGTCGTCCAGCTCGGATGAGCTCAAGTTGCTTGACCCCGTGGTTGAGGGCAAGGCCACCATGGATGTGCTGGACAGCCTGCTCTCGGGCACGCAAGTCGGCAACAACAACAGTTTCGCCGAGCTGAAGCCGTTGCCCCCCTTCATCACATCCTACACCGGCCAGGTGCGACTCAACGACATCCGGTTGAACGAATTCTACGCGCCGTCGCCGCAGAGTCAGCAGCAGCAACAGATTCCGTCTCCAAACAGTGGCGTAGTCGGTAGCTCTAATAGGTTAGAGACGAATAATAACAATTCCAATGTAAACAACAACAACAATGTGTACAAAAACTGTAGTGTCTCCACTAGTGGTAATGAACTTTATTATATGACTGAGCCGGTGACGTCGACTGTCGACGGTCTGGTGACCAAACATGATGATGTTATCCTCGGCAGCATCGCCGACAGTGAGATGGATGATTTTGCGGCCATCATCGGCAACGTCATGGCTGACACGACGGTGCACAACGCAGGTCTCGACAGTGTCGCCGACGTCATCAACCGTGATGCCTGGATGGACTTTGACCTTATTGACACGTGCACGGCCAAGGACGCCGACTACCTGCACGAAATGGCCAACCACTTTGTCAACGACTGCTCGCCGTCGCCGCCTTCGTCAAATCCGTCGGTGGTGTCGCCACCGTCGAGCTCCCAACAGCAACAGGCGTCTTCGTCAACGTTGCAGTCGTTGCTGACCCAAGGCACCCCTCCCGCTAACTACCAGGCCATCAACAGCAGCAACATCAAACGCGAGCCGGCCACCTACCATCACATGCCGTTGCTACAGAGTCGTCTGCAAAACGGCGCCAACGGCAACTCGATGATGAACAACAAAGACCCTCAGCAGCAGCAGCAGCAACAACAACAGTTCCTGCCCTACTGCAACGGTGGTGCCGGCGGCGGCAAAGACATGTTACCTCACACGACGCTGGCCAGTCCGCCAGGTCACGTGACCACGTCAGAACTCGTCAACGGCGGCCCCAGTCCGCCGAGGTTCAACAGCGGGGCGCCGTCGCGCAACAACAACGCCAAGTTCCGTCCGGCCAACAACCGCGGCGAGCTGAGTTCGCTGGATGGCTACGGCGGTGGCTCAATGTCGACGCCTCCGGCCAAGAAGTCCAAGAGTCGCAGCAAGAACAAGCTGAACGCGCAAAACAGCGGCAACAGCGGCGCTGCCGCGGCAGGTCTGGCGACCTACCCTGACGGCAGTGCCAAGGAAAAGCCCGTGCACCACTGCTCGATATGCAACCGAGGGTTCCTGAACAAGTCCAACATCAAGGTGCACCTGCGGACGCACACCGGCGAGAAGCCCTTCCGCTGCGAGGTGTGCGGCAAGGCCTTCAGGCAGAAGGCGCACCTCATCAAGCACCAGCAGATCCACAAACGGGTCGGCAGGGACTGACCAGCCACCCTATCTAGCGACGACCCTATTTAATTTTAAATATACAAAAAAGCGCGGCAATCAATGGCAACAAAAGTGCTTCCGTAATTCAGGGTGCGGGTTTCGAAAATGTCACCTGCCGACCTGAGCTGCCAAAAGGTCGGAAAGCAAACAGGCGTGCGTGGCCCCTCCCACTTGATTTTTGCAAGCAAGTGATTTCAATAGCCCACCTGTGGATTAAAATATATTAATTTTTAAAAATAATAAATTACTGCTAGTCATCAAAGCACTCTTTCTTATCTCTCCACTTTTTCGTGTACGTGTATTAAGCGTAATGTTACTATACTCAACACAACAGTTGTTTGAAAATGATGTTGGCATTGATTGTACCTGCGATTTTCCAACCTGTGAACTGCCCTATTAAGTGTTAGTAAGTGCGTGCAAAATCAAATTCGAAGCTCTTTTTTTAAGTGTGAAAAGCAGGAGTTTTTCAATCACGAGCCAAAGATTATCAAACCTGCTGCGATTGCGAGAATATAATTGTAAAAAACGAAACAAACTCTTTAAACTTTTGTTTTTTAAGTAATCATTGTTCCTCACAAGCAAACAAACGAAACGAATGGTTTAACATACAAATTCCGGTTGCTTGAGACTCGCAAGAAACTCTCGGCGGAAAAATAAGTAATGGTACTTTTAAAACACACACGAAAAAATGCATTGAATAAAAAACAAACTCTTATCGTCTAATGTTTAGTGCGTAACAAACCTGTACAGAAAACGAACACACACACATGAACGGAACAAGGCGGGGTATTTAAAGAAAATTAATTTTCTAATTGCTATTTGTAGATAGTTATCGAAGAAAAGCCCTTCTTTGAAGGGCGCCACTATATATTGCTCTTTTAACTTGTTGTGTCTCATCTCATGAGTTTAATTTGGTTGTTTTCACGCAGCCAAGAAAAAAGTGTACTACCACCACGTTGTTGTTGTTGAAGAAAATTAATATGGAAAAGTGTATTTTGTATCATTTTGTACAGAGAAATTATTTTGCGGTTAAGTTTATATAAATCTCCCCATTTGTAATTATCAGTTGTTATTTATGCAATTCTCCATTAACTTGTAAGCCTTAGGTTTAAGTTTCGCAAAACGAACGGAATCTCCAACACGCAGTATCTATTAAATAAAAAAAAAAATTGTATATGTACTACTCTTACATGTTGTAAACATTTTAAAACCGTTCATCGAATTACAAACGCATATTATTCTAATGTAAAGCATTGTGATTCTGAAAGACAAAAAAAATCTATATATTTTTGATACACAAACACGCGCGAATCAATCTTCTTTCAAACGGGTGTAAGCTGAAGAAGGGAATCAAAGATTTATTTTTGTAATAACAATTTTTCCATCGCAGCTGAAATTTTAACAATCTATTTAATATAGCGATCCCCCCTCAAGCCAGTTGTGCTTTCCGTACCTAATTTATTTTGCAGCCCTTCCCCCCACCCTTTTATCGCGACCACGGTGCATTCTTTTTTTTAATTTAATTTTTAATTGACTTTTGTGTCTGTATTTATAAATAATTGATCAAGCAAAGTACAACTCGCCAAAAATCCGCAATTACTAATTAATTTATTTCCCAGGGGTCAGCCTCACCTGCTGCGTTATTTTCTCCCCTTTTTGCTCATCGAAGAACTACTTTTATTTATTTATTTACTCCGCTACTACTGTACTAATTGGGAATTGGTGCATAATTTTTAACCAACACGCGCTTCTATTTATCTGTCTCTACGCTCTTTTCCGCGCGCGGCCGCTGCGATTTTCTCTTTCTCGAATGAAACCTCGGACACGCGTTTATTCTCTTTACTTCTTTTTCAATAAGTAGTGTATTGTTTAATTTTCAATCACTCGCGTCTCGGTCCGCTCTTTGTTTGAATGGTGACTTCGGTTGCAAATGAAAGAATCTGTTATCACGATGCTTAGCGAAACAAGTGTAAACAAATCGGTCTGTTCATATATATATAATAATTTAAACAATTTATATATACACAGGCTCAGTTGTTGTATTGATGTATCTGTTTTTCATGTTGGAAGTGAAGCGAAATCGACGATGTTAATATTAGTTTCTTTTTTAAAAAATAATACAAATTGAAGGAAATAATAACCGATGCTGTTTAATTGCCTCAAATTTGAAAATATAATTCCACATTTAATATTAGAACGTAATTAGGAAATTCTGAATTTCATTTGCAATTTTCAAGCGAAATGAAAAGTGTCTTCAATATTTTTGCATTTTTAATTGGCACGTATTCCTCTCTGGTGCAAAGATTCGCTGTTTTTTGGAACGTGACTACATCATTTTGGGACGTTTCTCTTCTTCTTCTCGAGTTTCTTGGCGTGCTGCAGACGATCGTGCAGTCTAAATAAAATATTAATAAATAACCTTAATATCGTGTGATAAAGCAGCCGCCGAGGAGGACTGGCAAAGGAATCCATCGTTGGAGAAAGAGGTGGAGGAACAAATCCAGGATGTAGGTTAGCAGGCTTTCTTTCTCCACTTGACGTCACGTGCACGCCTCACGTACTGAGGAGATGCTTGCTGGTTTCAAATGCCGACGTCGGTTTCTTTTTCGCCAATTTGACTCACCTTGAATTGCGACTCTGATTTATTCGCACTCGTTTTTGCAATCAATAAAATACATAAGAATTATAAAAAGTTGTCTTATCAAGAAATTTTTATGAGATTCCAAAAAATAACCAAAGCACTCTTGAGTTAAAATCTTAAATAATCCAAATTTAAATTATTATTTTGTTAACTAAAATCTTTCAAAATTTTGTTGATTTGGAGTCGGCGCTTTTTTTATTTACCTCGTTGATTTTTTTTAACAACAGAGCAACCCCTCAAAAAATTAAGCACTTTCATCCCAAATATTAGTCGTCCGGTGAAGTCAAACACAACTCAAGAGACTCTTTCTTCAGCCTTTATTGAGACAAATAAGTCTGTTCTGCGTGTGTACTTTTTGAGAAAATCCGTGTCTTTACTCGCGGGCTTTGTTTTCCGATGCTGCGGCGTGGAGAGAAGAAGATATCGCGTGGCCTTGTTTCTTGACCCACTTCCCAGGTGCAAGGCCATTATTCCAGTGGTGCGTTTTGTGGGTCAACCAACTGGTGCTGCGCCAACGAGGAGCGAGCTCTCATCCGCCGCCGAGCGAACAAGGAAAGAAAGGTGTCCCCTCCGCCGCGCCGCCACTAATCGAAAACTCTCTATTTCACTCAAATTACGCTCGCTCACACGACATATGGGCCGCCCGGACAAAAAATAATAATAACATGAGGAGAAAAAACTCTTTTGATTGAGAAACCAGAGATAATGCAGGTGATGAGCCAGCCGAAAAAGGGCACTGCCTGCTGCTCGCAATGAAGAGCACTTTAAATACAATAAATATGCCAACCGTGGTTTTTTTTACTTTTTTAAATACCATCAAGCAGCAGGAGTGCTTCAGAACAATGTGCAGGTGCTGAAACTGCATAGGTAATTATAATAGTAGGTCGTGATACAATTTACTTTTTTTCGCCTAAAACTCTGCTGATAACAACAAATCTATAAAAGTTTTTTTTGTCAGTCTAATTTGGAAACTGCTTTTAAGTAATTTCGTTATTCGATTATTTAAACAAAAAGATCTACAAGAAATTCATTTTAATGGTGTTTGTCAAAAGGACTCAAAAGCATGGCAGATGAGTCAGACTTTGCCTTGCTTTACACAGAGAGGCTGCACCGCAAAGCAGGGAAGCTGTGCGAGTGGCATACGTACTAGATGGTTTCAATGTTGTTTTATAAATTTAAATTTATATGTAATTTAAATATCAACTTGATATTTTATTTGGAGCAAGCAAAACCCCTGCTTAATTGATTTATTTTTCACGAATTCATACCAAAATTAGTTGAAATAACTTTAAAAAAATGAAAAGATAGCAGTCTTTTTTACTCAAAATTAGCAGCAATTCGCAGTGGTCTGCTAAAACGCTGACCTACAGACAGTGTGAACGCCCCAGCAAAAGTTTAAATATTTTACGTAAATTTTAGAGAGAAAAACAGAAATAAATAAATAATATGAAATTATTTATTAGAGATAATTTTTAGAAAAAATTTATCAGAATAAAGGATTTTAAATTAATGAAAAATAAAAACGCGTAAAAAATCACAAATTTAATCATAATAATTACTGACATGTATTGATAAAAAAAATATAGTTTTTATTAGTGCAAAGCAACGCAATTTTAAAATGAACCAAAATACAATGTATAATGAATGATTTTTTTCTGTCGATAATCTAATCTTTAAATTTTTTAATCCAAATGAAAAGAAAGGACTGGCCGTAAAGTAGACTGATATATATATATATATTCCCGCCACTGATAAACCATTCCAACCCAACCCGCCTCCTTTGCCAAACGTGAGCGTTTCACTCTCGTCGTCGGCGTGGGCCTCTCATGAAATTGGGTCACCGCGTGGAGCTCGCTTGGTAAGTTATTCGTTCTTTTCGGATGTTGGCCGTGTTGGTGGAGAGCATCATCACATCATCAGTGGTGTCTGTGGCAATTGGAGCTGTCGGGGACTAAACTGTTAACCAGCAGCTCCAAACTAACACTAGACTCTAACTATTAATATAGACAAGAAAACTCTCCAGGTTGAAAAATGTCATTCCCATTTGAAATACAAGATGTTGAGCCTGAACTCAACAAACAATTGCTGCAGGATTTTACTGGAGAACGGACGAATTTCTTACAGGTAAAATTAAATAAATCATGATAATTTATTTTAAATATTTATTTCTTTTTTCTTTTTTTCTATAGGTTGGCCCAAAAAAATATTTCTTGCCTTCCAAATACAGGGAGCAGGGTCCTGAAATCTTCAACTTTAAGGTACGGCCTGATGATGTCTGGATTGCAACTTATCCTCGTTCAGGTAAGAGGTGCAAATAAAAAATTAGAGGCAAGGCAAATGTATATAAGTTATAAACTTATTAAATTTCAAATTGACTTGATTGAATTTTATTTAATCATTTTATAAATTGAAAAAAAATATTAGATTAAAATCTGTATTCTATTATTTACAGGTACAACTTTGATGCAAGAAATGCTATGGTTACTAGCGAATGATTTGGACTATAAAACAGGCAATGAAATTCCTTTGGTTGCAAGGGCACACTTCATCGAGTATTGTTCTTATGTTTTGAATTGAAAGAAGATTAAATTTTTATAATAGGTTTGGCATCCTGGTACATGACGATCTGCTAGCGGAAATTCTCAAATTGGTCGAGGGGGATCCTGAGAGGACAAAAATTGCACGCGAGTTTGCTGCCAACAGGGTGCCAGTGCTAGACGAGATGCCCTCGCCAAGGGTCATCAAAACGCACCTCCCTTTTTCTTTGCTACCGCCAAATTTACTTCAGACAGCAAAAGTATAATTCTTTCTTTTTTAAATTGAATTTTGTATAATTAGTAAATTTAGGTGGTCTATGTTGCTCGCAATCCGAAAGATATGATTGTTTCGTTTTTCCACCACAACCGGCTGCTCAGGACTCAGGGGTACAACAAGGATTTTGCCCGCTACTGGGATTATTTTGAAAAAGATTTGTGTAAACAAAGAAGCCTAGAATTGAAAAAATTTTACAATCCATATTAATTTTCAGTGCCTTGGACGCCTTTTTGGGAGCACATTAAAGAGGCGTGGGAACTGAGGGAAGAGAAAAATCTCCTTTTCCTGTTTTACGAGGATTTGGTTGATGTAATTTTTTAAATTTGAAACAGTAACAGAATTTAAAGGGATTCTTGTTAAGGATCTACCTGGGTGCATTAAAAAAGTATCAGACTTTTTGGGTAAGAAAATGACTGCAGATGACGTGCATAGATTGGCAAACCACCTGCACATTGACAACTTCCGCAAAAACCCATCCACCAACCTGGATGCAGAAAATTTGCCTGGACTGAGAGTTCAAGGGGAGCAGGACTTCATCAGGAAAGGTGTGACTATACTATTAGCCTATTTTTTTCCAATAACTCATGTGCAAATTTTAGGGAAAAACGGCAGCTGGAAAGAGGAATTGTTCACGTCTGAGCTGATAGCTCGAGCAGACAAGTGGATTTCAGAAAATATGTCCCAGATCCCCGACTTTGCATTTCCTACCCCTTAAACTGAAACGATTTTTTTTAGAGACGTGGGTTTATTATTCCACAAAAAAGGAACAGCTTATTCTTTAACGGTGATAGATTTGACAATACCTTCCCCTAGAATCTTGACGTCTTCCACAAACACATCTTTGCTGAGCTCCATCTGCTTTGGCGGCTTCGGAATGTGTCCATTTACATGAGAGACCTTAATTTGTATTTAATATTAAAGTCATGTATCAATATTGAATAAACAAATACTTACTCTAAATTCTTGAGTCTGCAATACATTAGGCTTGAATAAAACTCCTATCTGACTGCCTCCGTGTCGATCACAGAAAAATAAGGCGTGGTCAGAATATGTGTCCTGTGATGCGCCAATTTCATTTCAGTACAAATAAAATATTTATAAAATTAACTTTTCTCACCCTTAGCTCTTGCAAGAAACACTGTACAAGGTCCAAACCAACAACTGGAATTCGATCTCCAATTTGAGTTGCTTTTGACCTATCAGGCTGGACAGCATCTAGGGACTCTTCGCGCCTCAAACAATGAGGCTGGAGGTCAATTACAATGTCGAAAATGTTCATAGGGGTGCGGAATATCAACTGAAAAATACGATAGATACCTTTGCAATTGGAGAAATATAAAAATAATAAAAACTACCTTGTAGTCCAAGTTTTCATTGGATAAAAGCTCATTATCAAAAGTCTGCAGAGACGCCTTGGCCAATTGGGTGAGCCTGTAAAGAATCTGACTGCTGGGAGCGTGTTTGGTCCACACCGTTCCAGAACGAGTTTCTGGTGTGACTATGAACAAAGGAGGCAGAGTACTCCTTTCGCTGTTGAATCTGTTTTCAATCTCAACTATTTCGGGCCCTGAAATTAAAAATAATGGAATGATACTGTTCAATAATAATGAGCAAGTAAAAATTTCAATTAAAAATATTAAAATCCGAATTTTATACTTTTCAACTCTTCTCTGAAATTTAGTATGATGGGCTCTGAAGTCCAGGGGCCTTTGGCAAGCATTTGCAAAAATCTGATGAAAGCTGTTTGCGGCTGCATGGGTGGTTGATAGGGTTCTGGAGTAAGATAGGTCGAAGCCATCAGCAGCTCAACACAAGTCTCTGGCATCAGCGTTTCGTCCAGCAGCAAGTGTGAGGAGACCCAGCGTTTTGCCAAGCAACTGGCAGGACCTAGGGAAGGGTAGGTCATGTGCAACCTGAAATCAAATTTAATAAAAAAAAAAAAAAAATAAATAAATAAAGATCAATGATTTTTTAATAATTGTAAAGTCTTAGTTAATTTAAAAATAGAAGCTTAGGGGACAAATCTAATTATTTTTTTAAGCAACCTTTTCAACTAACAAAAAAATCATTATTAGAAATGACAAGAACGAGCTTTTACTTACCCATGAAGAGCAGACGTTAACTTAGGCAAGTGCTGGTATTTCATTTCAAGGGCAAGAGATTCTTCTGTGTCCTTATATTTGATCAGCCCTTGAGGGGTGGTCATTTCTTTCAACAGCGAAATCTCTCTGGCGTGATAAACTTGCATCCGAAAAACGAATCCCTCCTGCATCATAGACTTTAGAAAATGCTAAATTGCGATGAAATTAGGAACAACCTTCAAAACATCAATGTGGGTTGGATAAGGTTGGGAAATGAGTTTGGCCTGTTGCTTGAGGATCTCTCCAAGTTTGACGTAAAAAGCGGCTTTAATTCTACGCACAGCCTCCAAGTCCTCGGGCCATTTGCTGCTCAGGGCCAGCGTCAGGATAACTGAAATTAAAAATGTATTTTACACAATTTGTTTGATCAAGTTTCACAATCTCACCAGGAATTGGAGCGATGTATTTGTTTTTGCTTTCACTAGTAGTCAAAGCCACCGTTTCAAAATTACCCTTACTCTTGAAGGCCGTATAAGGTCTCGGAGGGAAGGGGTCCGAGTATCGAAGACATGGGGCAGCACCCTGGACAGAGGCTATGTCCAGTGGCAGACCTTCCAACTGCATCAACTGCCGCCCTAGAGCATCACTTGCCTGCAAAATCCAGTTCAGTTGGAGATGAGATTTTTATTTGGCAAAGCAATGCAGTAAACAATGAAAAATTATCTACTAAAATAATTATCTTTAAATTAACATTGCTATACCTATTTGAAAGTTACTTAAAAATCTGGTTGAGAAATTTATTTATTGTTTAAAATTTTTAAATTGCTAGCAAAATATACAAATCAGCAAGAATATAAAAAGCTTCTTTTCCGAGAATTTAAATTTCTTAAAACATATAATTGACAATATTACCTTTGTGATGGCTAACGCGCCATTCTCACCCTCACTTAGCTCCAAAATGGACTCAAACTGGTCAGCAACATACACAAAACTTCCAGTGTCAAGCCCCAGGTGCTTTTGAGCCACAAAAGAAACAACCTCCTTGCAGATGAGCCTTCTTTGGGCCATGCCTCCCCCTGACCAGACGACCGCCTCGCACACGCTGCCATCCTGGAAACGCCGAAGCTCTGATTTTTCACCCCAGAACTCACGAAATGCTCTAGCCTCAGGAAGGTTTGCCACAGGTCCCTTTGTAAGCAGGGCAAGGGCGTGTTCAGGGTCAAGAGCCAGGCCAATGACCAAAGGCTGTTCAAAGGGGTCGGGTGGGTCGTCCACTAGAGACCATGATGGTGCTTGCGAGAGCTGACTGCAGATGAGGTGGACCCTCTGGCCAAGCGCCTGACTCAGCACAGAGACCATAGCACGCTGTGCCAACCATGGGCCACTGGTGTCAAGACGAGCAGGGGCGTCCATGTGCTTCTCTGCCTTTTTCACCGATGACGCCTCTATGCTGGAATATTAAAAAAAAAAAATGATTTTCAATTTCATTGGAAATAATTGAAAAAAAAAAATCATTTAAAAAGGGAAGTCAACACTCAAGTTTTCCTTTTACTATTTAAAATCAGAAATTTTAATGTTGTTTGATCTCTCACCTTAAGATGTGGTCAAATTGTCTGTAGAAGGGCATTTTAGTCATAAAAAGTGCCGTAAAACTATTTATGTTGTGGTTGTCGAGGCACTTGATGGCAACAGAGCTCTCTTGCTTGACCTAAATGAAACATTTAATTAATCACTCCTATTTTACAATTGAAGTTAACAAACCTGCAGAAACGTTTCTTTACTCATGTTTCCACAAATATTTACGTATCCAGTTACATCAACAAAAACAACATCATACAAAAGATGGAAATCTTCAATCGACGGACCAGTTGAACTTTGGCACAAACTTATTCCGTTTGTCGTCCAATCCTCTTTAGCTATATCAAGTTAAATTTTTAAATACCTTCTTATTAAATAATCAAAAATATTACCAAGATAGTTCCAAGCGTTCCTGACAACCTGATAGCTGCTCATGACAGCACTCAGCTTGCGAGTTTTCAGCAAATGGGCAATGTACATGGATATGATGTAGCCAGAAAAAGCACCGAAACCTTGATCTAGTCCCCTCTGCTTTAGCCAAACCTTGAGCAACATGATGCCTTCGGAGAGAGCTTTCTGCTCTTGCATTGCCTCAAGACGCCACTGCTCGTTTTCAGTCAGCGCTGCGTCAAGCGCCAGGCTGCGGTTGTAAAACTGACTTGGCAAATCAATGGCTGAAATTTATTCAAGTTTTAAATGACTACTATTTGATCCAAAAAAATTAATATCATCATACCATCTTCGTCCTCTTTGCCTGTGGCCCACTTGCTCTTGATGTTTGCCCTGTCAGGCCCCAGCTGGCTCATTTTGAAACATTCGGCCTCAGGGACAAAGAGAAGTCTCACTTTGATGTGCTTTCCAAGTTTCTCCTCACACTGCAGCACCAAAATCGGCTTCCATGGGTCTCCCTCAAGAAGAGAAAATTCCAGACTGCCAGCCAAGTTACTTGTTTGTAGTTTAGAGGCGACGTAACTTGCGTACAGTGCTCTTTTCAGGATATACCTTTGGTTTTGGAAGTCGGACCGTAGAAATGAAGCCTACCAAATAAAATGTTTAAATTACAAGATTGTGAATATTTTTTATTTTATTAAAGGAGTTTTGCACAACTCACCTTGGGCATTTCAACCCTGACGTCAATTTCGATATTTGGGGCAAGACAGCAGTTGGCAGCATAAGAACCAACGACAGAAACAGATGCAGGTTTAAAAAATGTGAAAGTTCCAATAAACTTTGAGAGATCCACGTTGACTGGAATTGTGACATTAGATTTCTTCAGCCAAGACAGGTTCGACAAATCAAATTCTTGAGATTTTTTCAAGTTGCCCAGAAACGTTTGCAGCTGTGCAAACCAGCCTTGGAACCTCTTCTTGTGCTTCTCCTTCACCTGGACTTCTTTCATCATTTCCTCTATCTGATTAGAAGAAAAATTAGATAATTGCAGTACTTTAAAGTTAGGGATGATTTTAATTTACCTCCAATCTGAACAAGTTTGAGTGGAACAGATTTTCAGTTTCCCGCAGACGGGTCATTTCTTCTGCAGTCGGTGGTTTGAATAGCTCCTTCTTTAACTTCTTTTTCTTGCTCTCTCCTCCCTGCAAGGTATCCATACAAAAAAATTTAAATCTCAAACTTGTAAAGGGATTAATTTTAATTTATGTTACAGCGGAAGGACTGATAGGAGGCAAGAGACGTTTCTTAGACTTTGAACCATTAGCAGATGATTCTTCTTCTTCGTTTGACTCGCTCTCCGTACCCATCTCTTCTTTGCCGACATTGTCATCCTCTTCATAATCCTGACTTTCTCCCGAATCACTATCTTCCTTATCTACCATCTTCATACTGAAAATAAGAACAAGATAATAAAAAGCTGAACAGGCAAAGAGAATTAAAGCCAACAAGGAAAGAGGTGGGAACAAAATGTGAAAAATTTTGCAGTCCAGCTCATGAAACAAACTTGGAAGTTTGGTAGTTTCAGATGCGATGGAAAAAACATAAATATTTATCTATAAAATTACATGAAAATTTCAATTATTCTATACTACATACTACAAAAGAACGGATTTATATACACTAATATACAGCACTGCGGACTGCGGTTTCAGGACCAATTCAGGACTCTTGTTGCTTGATAGCGACAACACGTGTTAAAGTTTACCTTTTGGGTGTACCAAAAATAAGTCTTTTATTTTAACACTTGCGAGTATGGCGCTGCTGTAGTACCAAAATTATACATCTAATTTTTCATTTTGACACCAGGTAGTGCTCACGTGTAGCTTCTCCCACTGCTGCCGCCACTGTCAGCGGCGCGAAAATAAAGTCAGCAAGCAGCTTTAACAAAGAAGCATAGGATAATACACGGATATTATTGGTGCTAATTAATTTGATGATATTAATTTTGTAAAATGACACAATTATTTTTAGTGAATAAAACAATGAAATATCGTCTTATGAGATTAAAAAGAAAAATAAAAATAGATACTGAAATTTTAGTGTGAAAATCACTATTCTTTTAAAATTAAAAAATTAAATTTTAATTCAAAAAATATATCTGACCATTTTAAAAGTTTTTGAATAAACTCAGAAACAGTCGATTAAAAAAGAATCTTTGATTAGAAAAAAATTAAGTCGCGTGTGTCTTTCGCTGCCTCTTTTATCAGCAGCAGTCAAATCGGACCTGCTGAGAAAATCTCAGCGGCTGAAAATTAAAAAAGAAAAATAAATTTAACCTTAACTATAAAAAATTAGTAGCGCGTAGCGTTCGCTGACTTTTTGATCAACAGAAGTCCAGTCATCTCTGCTGAGAAAAATCTCAGCGGCAGACGAGTTGAGACGAGTAAAAAAAAATAGACCTGTAATTTGAAAATTTAGTCGAGCAATTCGTACGCTGACTTTTATATCAGCAGAAGTCCAGTCAGACCTGCTGAGAAAAATCTCAGCGGCAGACGAGTAAAAAAAATAGACCTGCAATTTGAAAATTTAGTCGAGCAATTCGTGCGCTGACTTTTATATCAGCAGAAGTCCAGTAAGACCTGCTGAGAAAAATCTCAGCGGCAGACGAGTAAAAAAAATATACCTTAATTTGAAAATTTAGTCGAGCAATTCGTACGCTGACTTTTATATCAGCAGAAGTCCAGTTAGACCTGCTGAGAAAAATCTCAGCGGCAGACGAGTAAAAAAAAATAGACCTGTAATTTGAAAATTTAGTCGAGCAATTCGTACGCTGACTTTTATATCAGCAGAAGTCCAGTCAGACCTGCTGAGAAAAATCTCAGCGGCAGACGAGAAAAAAAAATAGAGCTGTAATTTGAAAATTTAGTCGAGCAATTCGTACGCTGACTTTTATATCAGCAGAAGTCCAGTAAGACCTGCTGAGAAAAATCTCAGCGGCAGACGAGTAAAAAAAAATAGACCTGTAATTTAAAAATTTAGTCGAGCAATTCGTACGCTGACTTTTATATCAGCAGAAGTCCAGTCAGACCTGCTGAGAAAAATCTCAGCGGCAGACGAGTAAAAAAAATAGAGCTGTAATTTGAAAATTTAGTCGAGCAATTCGTACGCTGACTTTTATATCAGCAGAAGTCCAGTAAGACCTGCTGAGAAAAATCTCAGCGGCAGACGAGTAAAAAAAATAGACCTTTAATTTGAACACTACCATATATTCAGTCTAACCCAAGGCCACCGCCGCCACCGGCGTAGCCCGCTCAGCTAAGTGTCGAAGTACAAGACACCATAGAAGACCAAGCTATGTCGGATCGAGCCAGTGTGCCGCCACACACTTTCCCACAATGATGCCCAGACAAAACGAACTGAAGAAAATCATAGGTGAGATTGAATGGTAGTGTATGTATGTGTTGTAGTTTGTGGAGTCAGCAGAGATCGCCACAGTCTAAGGTGAATTTTTAGAGCACGAAATGAGCTAATCTTAAAAAGTCCAGAAATTAAGAATGAAGTGGACATAAATTGGGTGGTGCCTTCTGCACCACTAATAAAGGGCACAGGCCGACAAGACTTTGTCTTGGCCTGACCATAAAAAAATAAAAATAATAATAATGAGTTTTAAAATATTGTCTTGCAAACCTTAAATGAAAATTTGGTTTACTTTATTTAATAAAAATATAAGCAAAGTTTTCGAATGGGTGCCGTTTAATAACTTCACAGCGGCTGAGTTTTTTCAGTAACTCATAAATTCATGATGCATGCAATCTTATTACATAATCGAAATGAAATCCAAATACTTAGGTAATATAATAAGTGAAACCATTATATTAGACAATTTCATAGCTATGCTCAATGAAACGAGAAAAAATTGGACTACATTCAGTCGAACAATATTTACAGCTCAAATTCAAAACCCTCCTCTAAAAGTGATACAATTAATAATTTCAAATCTATAATGGAGCCAATCAATATTAAATATAACCAAGAATAAATAGGATAAAAAGCAACTAACTAGGATATTGCACCAAAAATATTTTATACAGCAACTTAATTTGTAATTCTGAACAATGAGAAGGAATTTAAGGAAGTATGAATTCTGACGAGAGAGAGGGAAGGCTGTTCTATCACAATAATTCATTAGTTAAGTGCTCATGGGAAAATGACATAAATTATATGTCAAATAAAATTTATAACACGCAACAAGAAATGCATCAATCCTGTCTGGCCTCCACCAAACAATCACTCCCCGTTGGAAATCTTCAGCATCACGGTCTGTGTTTCGGAGGTTGAATTTGGGGTGATTTCATCCACCACTGCCTCCAGCTTGCCGCCCACAAGTCTCTCTTCAAGGCCCCAATCAACCTGAGAAAATAAAAAAAATCAATGCTAGAATAAAATTTCGTTTTGATAAATTGCATACTTTAATTTTTAAACTGATACTTAAAAAAATTGCTTAAAAAATAAACAAACCTCAAGAGATGAGGACACAGACTTATGCTGAGTCACCACGTCTGGCGGCGTCTTTTTGGGCGGCGGCCACACATCATCCACTTCGATGACGTCCTTGGGCACTGCGTCCGTTTTTCGCAGACGTCTGGCCACCTTGGTGGGCGGCTCATAGTCATGGTCTTGGACGGTGCAGAGCAGCTCGTCCTGCTCGTCGTCGGCATCTGCCAAAAACGACGGGAAGTCCTCGTACTTGTTGAACAGCAGCGTCCTCGACCTGCCTGCTACGGGAGGCAACTTTTCTCCGCCGGAGAGCAGGTCCGATGTGGCCTCGTCAACGGCTGTGCTTGTGGAGTTCTGATTTGGCCGCATGTTGGGCACCACAACCAGTGCCAGGGACAGCAGCAGCACCATCAGACAGGTCGCAGGCTGCACTGGACGGCCGCCGCCGGAGGTGCCCTGAGCCACCAATGCCTGAAGCCGTCGGATCTGTGTGGACAGGACGCTGTTTTGATTCTGTAACGCCTTCAGCTTTTTGTGCAGGGAAGTGTTTTCGTCACTGCATTTCTTCACTCTAAAATAGTACAGATTTTGTAAGTTACCTTTTGTGTTTGATTAAAATATGGTTTGTACTTTTTTAGAACAATAAAGTTAAATTTATGGTCTTGAGAGAGAAAAGCAATATTTAAGAACAAACCTTTCTTCAAGTCCATCAACGTACTCCTTCTTCCTCTTTCTTGAGTCTTGTGCTGAAATTTTGTTGCGAATTTTGCGTCTAATCCTTTTCAGTTCTCGCTCCTCATGTTTTGTGAGGGGGTAATAGGCAGGCAGGGTGATTCCTTCCTTTTTCAGAAGGCGCTTCTCTTCGGCTGAAACATCAGAAACAATTTACATTAAAAAAGATGTTTAAGTCTCAAAAAACAATTTGAATTCTTAGGAATGCAACTTTCTCTTTGGATTAGCTAACAGTTAATCAATATTCAAAGTTGTAATAATTAGATAAACGGAGACAAAGCGATTATAAGATTAATGATAATGGGCATGGCAAGAACAGAAGTGAAATTACATGTGAGCTCCAAACGAGGGTATCTGGGTCCGTCGGAGTCGTCGCTGGCCGAGTCTGAGTGAGTCTCGGAGGCGGCGACGGTAACAGGGGGCGGCGACTCCACAGTGGTGCTGGACAGAGTCTGCGCTTGCACCGGCTTGACCAAAGTGGTCGGCTTGGCGCAAACCAACTTAAGTCCGGCTGGAAGTCGGCCATTGGCGCCTGAGATGATGCGGAAGGTGCGCATCGTCGTCTTGCCCTGGCTCGTCACCGGCACCAAAATCGACCGTGACGTTTTATTGTTGCCGTCGGTCGCTTTGAAAGGCGCCAGACGGACCACGCGCCGAATTTGCGTTGCAGCCTCTGTTTTTACTGTTTCTGAAATCACATGTAAAAAAAAACGTGTTTTCATCCTTTTCTATAATATGTATCATTTTTGGAAAAGTGCAGGAAAATTTTTTTAAATAGAAACAATTACAATTTAAACAATTAGTTTTTCTTGTTTTTCTTCAGTTAGGAAAGTTGAAACCAAGAACAAAGTAAATTAACCTAAAAGATCATAATAATACAAAATGTGTAACAGCAAAAAAAAATAAATAAATAAAAATATTGATAATTTAGAAAAATACATAATAATAATTTTTTCTTTCAATTTTGATTGACTTCTGAAGGAACAATAATTTATTTTAAATAAAAAAATAAAATCATTTTAATGTTTAGTTACTGTTTTTTTCTTCTTCTATCAAATTATAAAAAAAAAATCTTTATACCAGTGTACCAATTTTCTAAAACAGCTTGTCTTAAATGCTAAAGAGATAAATAAGTAAGACAAAACCAAGGAATCTTGAACAAATATTAGCTAGAATGATAATTTGATAATCTTCATAAATTAGGTTAAAACCTTGGCTAAAAAGGCTGATGCACCTTTATCTTGCACAGAAAAATTGTAATTTACAAAAAAGTAAAGAAACATTTAAAACCGATCATTTTAAACAACTTTAAATAATTTACTTGGGATTTAAAAAGTAATGAGCAACCTGAGCAACAAACTATAATTTATTCATTTTAAATTATTTTTCATTGTAAACAAGAATGTCTGGGACGAGTGTTTTGAAGTTAAAAACCCAAGTCAATAAAACTGGTCGATGGAAAGCACAAACTGCGCTTCACAAAATCAATGAAAAGAAGATAAATAATTGATGAGACAGCCACAAAACTGCCATGAATAACGAAGCGTTGCTCCGTCTGACGCAATTTTGCATTCGAGGGGTTTCCAAAAGGAATGACGCAATAAATTTAAACTTTTTCAAATGAAGTAAATGCCGTATTAAACCAATAACGAAAAGTCATTGTCTTTGTTGTCGTAAAATTTAAAATTCGAATAAATAAAAACTAACAAAGTTTCAGTTTGTTTTTAAAAATGAGTAAAAATAAACTCACTTGTGGTGAGAATGGGCTGTGGCTGTTTGGTGTGGATTTCTGTGTCGGCCGAGTAAGAAGACTCCGAGTCGGAGGCGCCGGTGTCGCTTGAGGCTGGCAACGGTGACAGCGTGTTGGGTATGGGACTGAGTTGTTGGTCGAGTTCGCTGGACATGCCGCTGTCCGAGACAGCGCTCGAGCTCACCGACGGTCCCAACTCCTCAAACATGTCGTCCAGCGGGTCCAGCAGCGGCGTCTCCAACTCGGAGCCATGCAGGATGCTGTTCAAAAAGTCGTCGCATGGGTCTGGCCAGTCCTATTGGATCAAAGTAAAAAGTAAAGGAATTAATGTAAAAATAATATTGTCAGGGAAAAACGTGTGCAATTATTTATTTCTGTACGTATTTCGCCAATTTCAACTTTTTTGCTTAAAAATAATATAAATGCATTGGACGATTTTAAGATTCAGGTTTTTTAATTTGATTAAATTATTTTGTTACTAAGGACAAGATGATTTATTGAGCTAACAATTAAAAAGAAGGGTAGGGCAAAAAAAATTGAATAAATTGTCAATTCATCCTTGTAAATTACTTGAGAACCGATTTAAATTGTCCACTAATTATAAAATTTCTAATCCCATCTAATTTTGAGAGGGAAAAAGAAGGAGAATCTTTCAATTTTTAATGTTCCTCAATAAAGTGAGTCTAATTAAATTAATATCATCGTGTGGTTTTTTTTCTTAATTAAAAATAATATCTTTTATTGTTTAAAAATATTTAGATAGGATTCTTTAAAATAATTATAATTGATTTGAAAACTTATAGAATATATAAATGTAATAGACTCTCAGCGCAGACGGAATATTTAGTCTTACTAAATAATGCAGTATGAAAGGGCATAACTGTTTTTCAGTGCATGACTCACGCATGGAGGAAAGGCCCACGCTTGTGACAATTAAATAAGCTCACCAAAGTGAGGATGATTTTTGTTTTTTACAGACTTCTTTTCTTAACAAAATTGGGCCACATCTTGAGCGTACTTTCACCGGCTTGAAGATTTTTTATTGATTTTATCAAACCGAGAGGGGAAACCTTTCAATTCCACAAGAAAAAATATTCCCGCATTTTATTTGTTTAAAATTAATAAATGATGAAATAATTAAAATTCAAATGGGACACTAAACCGAACGTGCCGGAAAATTAAATTTGTCCATATGTTCGTAGGTTTTGCATGCGTGCAAAGTGAACGTACCATGACGTCGGCGTGGATTTTCTCTTCGAAGTGGTCGGCGGGCTCGTTTTTTACTCCGTTACCCTCCAGTCTGTCCAGCAGCAAGTCGAACATGCTCATCTCGGCGGTCATAGCGCCTCAGCAGAGCTGAAAGACCACGATCGGTTAGTTTTCTCCTTCGACTGCGGCCGCCCGTCTCGCTCGCCGCCGCACCGACGTAGTAAACAGATGACGTTGACACTTCGCCGATTAAACAATTAATTTTTCCCCCACCTCTCCCTCTTTCAGTTGAGACTAAAAGTGGACAAAACAGACCGAGCTGGCCATTGTGCACCTCCACTCGAGCGTGCCTCTTTTGCAAATTAATCGGCCGAGCAGGGAATCGCCTTTTACCAAATCCAAAAAGGGCACCAGGGTACGTTAACCCTAGCCGCGGGCACGCCCTTCTGAACCGAATCAAGACGTCGGTGCCTTCAAAACGCCCGTTCTGCCCACGTCGGATAGCGAAATTCGCACAATTTCTTTTGAAATAAAAATATAAATTGCAGATACTTACGCAGCTCATGTCAAAGGGCACGAAACGCGATGGAAACGGCCGAATTCGGCTTGTGTTTACAAGACGACTTTTTCAGCTTCCAACGTGGAGGCTGTGACGTCACAAAGACACTTCGCACGCTCTGATTGGTGCGCTTCGGGTCACGTGACTCAAAACGCGAGCAAGCGCGCCAAATGAGACGCGATGTGCCTGAATTTCGACGAATTTACGCATTGAATTGCGCAGATTGCGTGGGAAAACGCGCTTTTCCGACTTTCTGACGCAATACGCATTGACACGTAACGCTTTTTACATCAACTTAAAGGCATGCTCAGAATTCAAATATATTTTGTTAAAAATTAAAGATACTGTTAATTACGTTAATTATTTGCACTGCTGAAAAAACAGAAATAAAAATTATGTTTTCACTGTTTTTTTTTACCCTGCAGAAAAAAAATCATGTTTTGATTCAGTGTAATTCAAATTTTAATGTCATTATACAACTCCTAACACTTTTGAACTTCTCAAGAGATTTGAAAATTTAAAATTTTTGTTTTTCAATATTTGATTAACACAAAAATTAATACAAGAGTAAATCAATATGTATTTAATTATTAGAGAATAATACAATAAATGAATTCCGAAGATGTTTTGAAAGTTTATTGTTTTTTTTATTATGAACAGCAACAGCAACTGAAAATAATAAAGAAGTTCACAGATGACTGAAGAAACACATTGTGAATACATACTGCACTTAATGCCGTGTTTTTTTTTTTTAATTACAATAATATGCATATGTATATAACATTTACACTTTGTAGAAAAAGGAAAGAAGAAGTAACTGGTTTAAAATTTTCTCTGCACATATTACAGCAACCAAAACATGAATTTTATAATCACGTACTTGACAAAAGATTAAAATTCAGAATTTAATCAATCTGTTTTAATTCCATTCAATGACTAAAATTCTCCTGAAATGAACACCTCTTTTGCTTCAGTTTAAAATTATAGGATCCTCACTTCTTCTTTGACTTGGAGTACATTTTTTTTACCTGTGCAATTGCCACCAACGTTTCCTGCTGCTATATTTCAGCGGAACAGATCTCTTTTTATATGAACCGAAGTGGGAACTGCATTAAATATTATCCTCTTTTTTTATTTTGAAATGACAGCAGTTTTATCACAAACCCCATCTGTCCCTAGTGCATGTGTCGATCAGTATACCCTGCTCAGTGAGACCCAATCACGGATTATTAAGAGCTCCTAAAATTGCCACTGAGCCTGACGCAGCATTATTGTTTTAAAACATTTTTATCCATCAATTGCGTTGGGTACCACTGCCTTTTATTTCGTCGATTCTTTACTCTATTTTCATGTATTTGATTCAAAATATTAATTGATATGATAGTATCATCATTCCCAATATTTTGCTACAGATACCAAAATAAACAGACATATTATTTCGCTTTTATACAGATTCTCAGGGAAAAGCATGGTTGAATTTTTCATCTCACAATCATTGTACATACGACTAATAAGACCATGCTCAAGGAAGCTCCGCGCCAATCTAATGTAATTCTCAAGGGCCACCCCTGGAACTTTGGAATCTATGCCGTTTTGATTTAAAATATAATTTATGTGAAGGAGTGACCACTTTTGGAGCCGACATCAGAATCTCGAAAAAAAGTCCCTCCAGTGAAATCTTGGAGCCCAACTTATTAACTTTTTAGCAGAAATCTCACATTTTGTATGTATTGCACTTATTGTTCGAAAGTTTGAAAGATCAATTAAAAAACCATTTGTACAAAAGACTGACGAAACTACAAGTATTGTACATTTTACATATTATTTTTCTCATATATTATGCCTTCAAGTGTTGTTTTTTTCTGTTTACAATCTAGATTGGCTTGTTATCCGTAAATATCACTCGCAAGTTTCACTTCTTTCGCAGCTAAAATGACGAATAAATTATTACGATATAGGGAGAAAGCGTCTTTTCACGCACTTTTCCGACTGGTTAATTTAGTCCGAGTCTGAGCTGGGCGGGTCGTGGAATTCACTAAGGTCAATGCCGTTGATGAGATTTTTGCTGATGGCGTGCTCGAGCAGCGCCAGGTGGCAGAAAACGTATTGGTCTGGCATTTGTATGCTGTAGGCTCGCTGAGAGCGGATTTTTTCCACAGTTCCACGCACGTCCACCGACCCGGCGTCTTCCAGTCGACTTATGCAAATATCCAAGGTACAAAAAGTTCCTGAAATAGAAAAACCTATAAGAATCCACGGGAAAACAATAAATAATTATACAAAAATTTTCAACATATTTCAAAGTATTTTAAAATAGATAAAATTCTGCAAAAGGTTATTTGATTTTCTAAAATGAATTTACGAAATTCTTTCCTCAAAAATTAGGACTTAGGACCCCTTGACCATTCGCAGAAAATAATGTAAAATAAAGTCAGTGATTTAAAACATTATAATCATAATTAAAATAAATTTTCTAACCAGTTCTGCCGATTCCAGCACTGCAGTGGACAATAATTGGAGGGCCTCTAGGGTGTCCGGCCCAAGTATCGCCCAGGTCGGCCACCATCTTGCTTTGTTCATTTCTGACTGTGTTGAGGAAACTGAGCATGGCCGTGGCCGTATCAGGAACACCATAGTCAGGCCAAGCCAGGAACTGGAAGTGGCACAATTCTCTAGTCTCGTCCGTCTGCAATTATTCAAAATAATTAATTTCTCATCAATTTTTTAGTTTAAAAGTCTACCTTGGTGTTGGTGATGAAGATTTTGAAGCGAGTGTAGTCCCCGAGTTGCTCAACAGCTTGGGTTGTGACTTGGAAATCGCCGTGCGTGTCTTTTCCACCTTCTTCGGCAGGCCAGTACTGGCCACACTTGGTCCTGCCACGCTCCACAACACGAGTCGTCATCACGACAACCAGGACGTGCTGCTCCCACACCATCCGCCAGAAGTCTTCAAATGTCTTTGGCAAAGGACCTGAAATTTTTTAATATATTCAATGAGGTTCATTCATCCGTAAACAATTTTTTTGATTTGGAAAAACCAGTCTAGGCTAGAAATAACAATGCCATTGTCCAATTTAATCAATTTAAGTGACTAAGGACTTTGTTAAAAATTAAGAAATTTATTAGAAAATTTAACTAGCCATTTCTTAAAATTTTTAAAGATTACACATTTATTTTCTTTTAAAACCTCTACGAAATTTAACAAAAGTTAAAAATTATATTAATAATTTAAAGGTTTTTTTTGCATAAAATGATTAATTGTGATTAATTTACCTTGCGTTGAAATGAAAGCATTCTTTTGCTTGTAGCCATCCACGAAGTTGGCATTAATATAGTCTGAAGTGGGGTCATTGGGGTCAGACTGGGAAAGGATGACTCGGGAGTGGTCAAAGCAAAGCACATCCGTGTATCGGTTTTTGGGCAGGTTGTTGCGTAGTCTGTAAAATGAAAACAAAATTAGAGACGGTTAATAGCAAAAATCAAGCAAAGGTTAATTAAGGAGCAGTTATAAATCATAGAAAATCAAGTAATGCCTTTAAAATTTAATATGTGAAAAAAGAACAAAAATTGTAAAAAAAATTGATTTCAGTTTAATTTTTTGTGATGCACTTTAATTGAAATCAGCTTTTCCTCAATTAACTTTATGAGTGGTTTATTACCCTCACAGAGGAAAAAACAAATTTCCTGCTGCTCTATTTCTACGAAAATAATAAACCAATTATAAATTCATTGAGGAAAAGTATCACTCAATTTAAAAATTTGAAAATATCATAAACAAACCCTCATTCTCAGTCTGATTTTTTATAGTTTTAACTTTAAATTGAATTGGAATTTTTTCTATGGCTACATCTTTTTTTTCTAAAATAACACCAAAAAATATATGGCTATTTTTAAATTTGAATAATTTGTGCTCACTTGGCATGGTTAAAAGTGCCATCAGGCGGTTTGCTCCTGATGTCAGTGTACTCAAGTCTGAGGCCAGTGCGTCCTTTGCTTTGGACCATTTGGACAAACTGCTCGAGATCCTGTCCGCGAGCATCGTCTGCGCCTCCGTGCAAACTGTCGTCGTCAGAAAAGCCACTGCTGGCTGAAGAGGAGGCAGGTGGCGCCGGCGACGACAGCGCCTCGGCGCTGCTGCCGTTCCAGCACGAATCGTTTCCGTTGTGCAGGTCGCGCGGCGTGATTTCGTCCAGGACGACGTCATCCTCGTCGTCTGGCTGCCCATTCTTCAGGGTCATCGAGGGGACGGTTTGTTGATCGACCGCGAGCTCGGACACCGCCCCGCCAGCAGGGCTGCCCATCCGCTCACCCTGAAAAAAGAGTAATTTTTATAATTTCATCCAACAGGAAACAAAATTAATTGAATTTAATTTTTTAGCCTAATAAATTTAATGAAGGCTGTAAATTATTCTGGAGCGAATTTTTGGTTTATCAATTTTAAAAGTCTTTCAATAAGAATAACAAAAAAATTAGAACCGCTTTGTTCTTTCAGAAGATCCACCCAAATTGGAAATCAAGTTGATAATTTTTATCTTAGAATTAACAAGTTTCAGATCGAAGCCTATCAAATCCCATGGCAATAAAAAGTGACAAACCTTGCTCAGAATAACCATCATTATCACGCCAGTCCCAAGGAGAATAAAAACTATTTTTTTCACAACTCTAACCATTGCGCTTTGTAACGACTGATATTATTTTCCCAACTCTGTAGTTGTTGTTGCTCCCAGCTGGCAATTTTTGCGTACTAGTCAAATTTACAATTAGAATGGACTCGTGTCCAAAGATAAGCGTGGCGTCTTTTTAAAACTTACAATCTGGTCTTGTTCTTTTCTTTCTGCCTCAAACACCTTCTTAAAAAAAAAGAAGAGGCGAGAGAAGCACTATTGATTAATCTGGGGGCGACGGACGCCGAGTTTCGATTGGGCCAAGGTTAAATTTAGGTTGCCGGCTCTGCTTTGATGCAGAGCTGGTTGCATACCCGCCGCCCACACTTCTTGTCTCCCGCGGCCAATTCTCTCAGCCTTGGGCAATAAAGCCGAGCTGAGGCAAGGGAGTCTTTGCATTCTTCGCAGGATGCTTCATTAAAAGGGAAACTCTGGGAATTTCGTCACGGGTCTAAAATTGGCTCGTCTTTTGCCGAGTTTCTTTATAGAAAATAGTTGTGAAGTTTCCTCGCTAAACAAAGGAAGACATTCAATTTTATGAGATCTAACGATCGAGATTTTTCAAATTCTTAACCAGCTTTTTTATAGAGGAATTAACTGCACATTTTTTTTTTATAAAATTAAGAAATAAATAATATAAAAAATATCAAAAATTTATTACCGTTTTTATCAAATTTTTTTTATTATTTTTATTTTGATGGTTAAATTAATAATTAATTAAATTGTCTTTACCAGGTTTGCCGAGTCTAGTGTCGCTTGAGTTGCAGGAGCGGTCGGCGCCAGGTCATTGTCGTGCCGGTTGGTCATAGACTTGAGGCAGAGCCGCAACCACGCCGCATGATCTACTGCCAAGGATCCGCCCAGGGAGCGCGGGAGTGCGTGCCGGGGAATGTGTGCAGTGAGCTGCAAGACAAAGGCTCAATTACTTGTTGTGATGCACACCCTGTTCGTTTGCGGCCAAGACTGAAAGGAAAAAGGTGGAGAAAAGTAGCGACGACCACTCGTCAGCCGAGATAAGCATTTTTATCGCTTTTATCTCTGGTAAAGAGAGAGAGAGGATGACGAGCGGACGGCCTCGGGAGGACGGACTGACTGCTGGCTTTCGCGCATTTGCATCACAAAAAGTGCAGCGGATCTCAGCGTTTTGCCCACTTTGGTGAGGGAAAATCCTGGATTTGCAAAAGTCGTCCAAGGATTATCGAGCGTCGGAAAAAAAGTGGGTAAATCGGATGAAAAATGTGGAGCACTTTGCAGATCTTTTGACTTATTTCTTTAAAAATTTTGTCTTCAAATGGCAGACTCTAAACTCTGTTCTAAATATTTTTAACAATTGCTCAATCTTTTCGAAACTTTTCCTGTTATTCATTACGAGGATGTTTACTATGAAAAGAAACGGAAGCTAGAAAAAGTTAATTTTTAAAGAATTTTTACTTTTAAAACAAAATTTATTCTGTATGAAGATCCGTCTTGAGTAACAAGTTTCGTTTATTATTCTTAATTTTTATTTTGCAATAATCGTTGACTTTTATCTCTTGCATTTAAGTATTAAAATGTTGTGTAAATTTGCTGCTGGTAAACAAATTAAAAACCAAATTGCTATGCAAATTACTGATTTTAAACAAAACGATTTTATTTAAATATAAATCAAGCTACCCATCCAATAGGACATAGAACAATGAAAATTTCATCAAAATGATAAATTTTTCAAACCATAATTTATTTATTTCAATGAAAATTAAAAAAAAAACCATTTGAAAATTGTTAAAGCCAGCTAGCCATTGGTTAAGAGATAAAAACAATGAAAATTTCATCAAATGATAAATGACATAAATTTTCAAACCCTTCAGTTTATATTTTTCACTGTAAAATTTAAAAACAAAAACTGCAATAAATTACCTGTGGTACGCTGACTGTGTAGACCCTGTCTCGAAGTTTCTCTCTGACAAACAGCCGGAGGATCTTGAAGGGCGCCTTGAACCAGAGGGGTGCCGTCACGATCAGGACCTTCTTGAGGCGGGCCGGGTAGCCTCCCTGAAACAAGCCAAAAAAACGAACCTTTAGAAATTTTTGAAACGCATTATTTCACAAAGGCAAACAAACTAAATTTCACGTGTGCGGATTTCACCGATGCACGTTCGCGTACAAATAGCATTAAAGAAAGAAAGAGTTTCGCCGCACTGCTGGCTGGCTCGTCACACTTTGGCGCACCGTCTAATGAGGGGCGCGAACGGCACCAGCAGCAGCGGCACAATCGACGTGAGTGCATAATAATCTCGCTCGCTGCACACTCGAAACTAAAACCGCGCGACACACGCACGCCCACCTCTTGGATTTTCGGTGCGTTTTTCACGAGAGAGTGAGTGAGGCGAGGTCCTCCATGCAAAGAACTCATTCTCTTTTTGTTTGTGTGTATTGTTGGTAATTGGAGGCGAATTTTCGAGGGCTGGGCCGCTCGCCTGCTCGCCGACGGACGAAAAGCGGCACTTTCGCATGAATAATAAATAAAAGTGCTTGGTGTGCATTGTTTGCGCTGCCGTGACCAATTTGGAGCCGAGCGTTTTGCAGAACAGATTAGGCGTGTTTCGCCGGCCGCGGAATTATATTTCAGTTAGAGCGAGTTGCGACACGTTTGCAAAAATTAGGCGCATGACGAATGAATTAAAAATTTATAACCGCACCAAAAAGAGTTTCAGACTTTGCCGTTTTTTTGAATAGTTAGCTTTTATGATGAGAAAATAATGAGGTGAAAATTATTGCATCAATAAATATTTAAAAGGCTTCTCTCACTCAAATCTAATTGACTGTGGAAAAATTGAAGGCCACCCTGTTCGACATAATCGATGGAGCTATAAGTTATTTGCAAAAGCTTCCTCGTTCTTAATGTCGTGGGTGTGAGGATTCAGTGCAAATAGAAACAGATTTGACGGTTTCCCCTACAGCAGCGTGGACGGAGGGATTGACAGTGACAAATATTTGTTTGGCAAACGACGCCAATTTGAAAAGCCAAAAAGAGGAAATTTCATAAATATTTGCGGTACGCAATTCCAGAGTGCTATCGATTTTCCTGGTTGGCACAAAACAACCTGCGCTTGTATAGGAGGACACGAGGAGGCCCTTTTGTGATTCGACAATTGACGCCCACTATCGGGGAAATCCAACACATTAGGGAAGAGAGAAAAATTAATACTTAATACTTTTCTTTTTTTCCATTCGAATCAAATGAGATTATAAAAATTTAAATACAACATAATTTCATACATGCGATAAAAATTAAGCAATATCACACCAAAAGAGAGATTTAGTGCCAGCAAATAATGTTTATTAAAAACAAATTTAAAATTCGGACTACCAATTTCTATAAGTCTAATCCCTCTAATTAAATGACGGCCAATGTCATGAAAAATATATTTTTATTTATTTTTTTTTTAAATTACCCAGCTTATACGGTTTTAAGTTTTATTTACCGTGATTATTATAAGAATCTACTATTGGTCCTGCAATAAATACTTGAAATTCATAAATTGAGCTGATCATGATTTTTCTATACAAGCGAAAATTTATGGGAAAAAACTGTCATGGCGTCCCTTGACAGAAATTTTGAATTTCACTCTAAACAATAAAAAAAGTCAAATTTGAAAATTATTTATTATCGGTATGAATTCACTTGAATTCTGTTTTAAGATTATTTGATTAAATTATCGTAATTATTCATTTTATTATATATATTATGTAATTTTCCCCCATCAAATCTCTGCAGAGAGGCCCCACGAAGGTTACGCATTTGAGGGTTGCCCCTGCGACAGAGCAAGCCCAGCCTGCGCCCCATCCCGCACTCGCTGCTGCCAATCCGGTTGCCATAGCGATATCGCGAGCGCCGTTCGGACCGGCTAATTCCGCGACTTTTCGCACCGACTCGCTGAACGGGCCATTAATTCATATCATCAGCTGCTACAAATTGGGCCGCCCGCAGCGTCGGTTGCATAAGTTTCGTCACTTCCGCGGCCAAGCGAAGGAGCGGCCGCGATCAATCACCCGCTCCGCGCGCATCATCCAGCACCAGACGTGCGTCTGTCTAATTTGAGAGCTGAGAGGCGCTGGATTTATCAATTTCACACGCCATTGCCCCGGACACAATCGCGGCTGATGAATTTTGATCAGACTCTCTCCGCGACTTCCTCCGAACCAATTTCCTGTCTTGTTTTGCTCTCGAAAAAGCCTTCATTTGGATTCGGGCAAAGTGCATAATATGCGTTTCCTTTGAAGATTTTTAATATGTAGCCGGCTGCTTTGGAAGTGCACACCGCTATGAGATCATTTCCTGGAAATTTTATGCTAATATTGTTCAGTGGGGAGAAAGGAAACTCGTTTCTAAATAAGCAGCATTTTTTGAAAGGAAAGAAAAGTGAAAATCTTTTGATGATATCTCAACGTTTTTTATTCCTAAAAAATGATTTGGTAAGAATTATGTTAAAATAAATATTACCTAAGCATTAAACAAAATTATTATTGAGCAGTTTTTTATGAAAGTTTCAAAGTTTATCTTTCTCAAAGAGTTATAATTTTAGCTTGTAACTAAATAAATTTACGCTACAAATAAAGCCTATCTACAATAAACTAACAAAAAGTAGCATATATTTTATTTAGAAGTTAATTACAAGGTAAAAATTTTTCAAATTAATTAATTTCATTAAGACCATCTTCAAAGTCTCCAAAAACAAGCTTAAATAAATTTAATATTATTTTACATTTTTCAATATTTCTCATTTTTACGTTATAGTATTACTATAATTAAATTGAGAAGCAGGCGTAGCAATTTATTTAATCAATTTTTATAAAATAATAGCAAATTAAGCTTTGTTTCATTAAAAGATTTTAAGAGATTTTAAGTTTAAAGAAAAATCAACAAATTAAAAATCATTCGACCTCTGTAAAATGAAATGTTAAAATCTTAACTTCTTTAAATTCCAAAAAAGTGGAAAGAAATGGAAAAGAGGCGAAGAAAAAACAAATTTCTCTCGCCATTCCTTTTTTTTGTGTGCTGAAATTTCGTAAACACCTTTTCTCAGGCATGACATTGAGAAATAGAAAGCCCGTTTCGCATTTTCGCCGGCAAATCTTCGCAGCCTTTGTTGCGAGCGATTTTCGGCCTAAGAGGAAACTCGATTACGCGGCGCCGGCAGTGTGGCGGCTGCTGCGACTTTGGCCGTGGCAGCCGATCGATAAAATGGCATTAAGGGAGACACACGGCCGGCTTTGCATACATTGTTGCGGCCGCTCCTCCTCTGCTGCAGCATCTATATTTCAAGAGTGAATGAGACGCCAACCATCCGAAGAGGACCTCAAAACGCAAAACGCCGGTTTCTTTGTCCAATTTAATCTACGTGGCTTGCGTGCGTAAATATATTTCGCATAATATGCAAAAGAGAGGAGGATTTTCGGTGCAGCCCTCGCGCAAGTTTCATTTCCTTTCGCTTTCCTCCGCTTTGCCAGAGAGAGCAGGGGAACGGGCCGCTGCCGAGGGTCTTCCTTTAGGCCGGAACAAGCTTAAAATCAAATTAACCGCTGTTTAAGGTTAATTTAATTAACCTGGCCGGGTTTGCGCACCGCTGCATCGACTTCAAACTCCTAGCAGTGGCTCGTTCGGCAAACCTTTTTCTGATTTGTTTTGTTACTCAAAAAATTAAAAAAAATTAAAATGATTGTTTTTTATTTTTTATTTATTCATGCACCTCCATGGCCCTTGCGGATAATATTCAGTTTTTAATAGAAACAAATTTAATTTGAAACACATTTAATGAAGCAAAATAAACTGCTGAAAAGCATAATAAATTTTTTTTTAGAAAAGTCAATGAAATTGTCTAATTTGGCAAAACAAATAAAAATACACGTTTGGGCAAAACGGAAATTTTTTGGTAAAGTAGTTGCTTTTAGTTAAAAAGCGATAATTTAATAAGGAAAAAATTGAATGTATATAATATTTTATTGAATATTTGTATGATGAATCTCAATTTTGGTACACCAATAAACTTAATTTACAACTAATATCAAATTTTTATCGTTGAGGTTGTATATTAGCTCAAATTGCATTTATTAAGAAATATTTGTTCTGAAAAAGTATAATTTATTTTAGCTGCAAACTGGTAAATATTCAATTACATAAATGAACTCAAAACTTGAGTTTTTAGAAATCTTATAAAACCTCAGAATTTTTTGCTTTTTTGGTATATTTTAGATATTTTCACAATCCCTATTATTTACCTCTATACCAAGAATTTTGCTCTTCATCATTGATGCTGTTTGTGCGAATTCAAATACGATTCAAGTTCATTTCCGCTCAATTGACTCGCAAACCCTCCGCTTAAGAGTAATCCGAAAAGCCACTGCTCCCTCTTGATCGTTTCTTTGACAAGAGAAAGGTCGTGTGCGTGCGAAAGAAAAAGAACGTCAGTGGAAAATTGTGAAAACGAGCCGCAATAATTAAAGCTGGTGGGTTTTGGTGCCAAAAGAGGCGGATTGCACGCGGTGCACATTATGGTCTTCCTTCGTTCCGAGCGCACAATGGCGAAGGTCACGAAAGGGTGACTTTGCGCGGCTAAAAGTGGCACGGATGGTTAAACGGCTCGTCAGTCCGGTGGTGGTGCAAGAGCCGCTTAAAATAAATTGGCGTGCCTGGAGAGTGATCAGTCAAAAGAGAGGAGCTGACGAGGCCGATTTTTATTTCGTGGCTCCCCCGGGGGCGCGTCCGGGAAAAGTGAAATTGCGCCGGGGTGAAAAATCGACCGGCCGACCAGCGGATGCATTAAATTTTAAAATTAATCTCGCCACGCAAGATCACCTCCGAGCAATTTTGCCTTTTTCTGCTTATGAATTTCTAGCTACCATGAAAATTTTAAAATGGCACAAAATTGAAGAAATTTTCCAAATTTTTACACCATTATTATGTAAAGAAAATAATTATTAATAAGTGGATGCATTTTGAACAATTGACTATATAACCAACAATAAAAGTTTTGATTAAAAATATATGATCT